AGTTTTGTGTATCCTTTTTTTTCCATTTTTTTTTGGTAAAAATAAAATTAATTGCTTTTGGATATTTGCAAGAAAATTGGAAAAAAAAAAAAGTTTTCACATTAATAATGTGCATTATTTGGGTTGTTGGTTGGTGTAGTTAAAGTGTTAGCATTATCCACCTTTTGCAATTCTGATAGCTATTTTAGTTTTCACATCATGCTGAATTAATTAATACCCTTTTACTTATCTTCACTTTCTTCTTCAATGTTGATAAATAAATTAGATGTACCAAAATAAGTAAGTAGATAGACTTTCCGTGTTGGGATATTTTATCGAAAACCGAGCCGAATAATGCATTTTGGTGCGATTTTGTTTGATTAGATGTTGGAATATCATTTATAAGTTGTCGCACCTTGATTCTGTAGGAAAAATAAGCTTAGTATATAATCTTAGTTGGTTACTCCTCCCATCACCAATATGAAACCTCGCTAAGCTACTCCTAGGTTCACCCTTTTATGGTTCGCTTCATCTGCTGGAACCACAATCTCTTTCTCATATCCTATAAATATAATATTAGTTTTTGGTGTAGGAAATTCTAAGTTTGATTATTTTTTATTTTATGATACGATTCAGTTAGTTTATTTTCTTTTCAGTTCGATTAGCAAAAATATTCAAATTTTATTTAAATAATGATAATAATTTCTATTTCCCTAAATTAGGTACCCGCGTATGTCGTAGCTCAAGTGGTGGGATCAACCCTAGCGAGCGGGACCCTACGACTACTGTTCGGTGGGCCCCACAACCACTTTGCGGGAACACTTCCGACCGGCACTGACTTGCAGTCGCTCGTGGTCGAATTTATCATCACGTTCTACCTCATGTTCGTGATCTCCGGTGTTGCCACCGACAACAGAGCTGTAATAATAACAATAATAAATCCCGATTATCTACTTAATTTGTTAATCTTTTGACTTAACTATATATTATTATTGGTTTTTTTTTCTATTTATTTTTGAATTAATATGGTTGATTAGAAATAGACAAAGCTAGGGTTGGCTTGAAAACTACCCTAATTAACATATGTCCTTTGCAAGGTCTTTAATTAAAGTCAACGACTCTAATTAATATACTTTATTTTATTAATAGTGAGTGATTAATTTGTTAATTAGTAGTAATTAATTCGGAGTTTGATTGGTGCAGATTGGAGAACTTGCTGGTCTAGCAGTTGGAGCTACCGTTTTGCTTAATGTTATGTTTGCTGGGTAAGTATAACATCTTCATACCCAATTATAATATTTTATATTAAACTGCTAATTAGTAACCAAATACTTTACATAATTGGGAAATACTAACGTCTAGTTACGGAACCATTCCGTCGTGGTTTGTAACTGTTAGATCATCATGTAACTGTTAGAGATAGTTGATCTAACGGTTATAAACTCCGCTAAATTATTTCGTAATACGTAATCAAGTAGTTGAATATGTTATTCACTATTAGTTTTCAGTGTTAAACAAGCCTTTTAATCCTTTTTATTATCAGATTATAGTTATCTGAATTGGTTTGTGTGGGTATAATGCAGGCCCATTTCAGGGGCATCAATGAATCCAGCAAGGAGTTTAGGCCCAGCAATAGTGTGGAGACAGTACAGGGGTATATGGATCTACATGTTGGGCCCAACAGCGGGGGCAATTTCTGGGGCCTGGGTTTACAATATCATCAGATTCACTGATAAGCCCTTACGTGAGATCACAAAAAGTGGGTCTTTTCTCAAAAGCGCCTCTCGAAATACCTCAAAGTGAAATAAATGTGTAGTAATTTGAATGTGATAAATCACTTGTTTGTAGCTTTGACCAACATTTAATTTGCTGTCTATTATTTATATTATTTGTTGCCAAATTAATTTAAAATCAAATGAATCGAGATGAATCGAGCTCGGATCATTACCTAATCGAGTCGATGAACCAGTCGAATTAAGTACAAACTCATAGTTATGAAAAAGTCTAACGATCCTTGACCTGTCGAGCCGAGCCCGAGTTGTCTACGCGTGGTAAGTAGTAATTCACTTGAAGACAAAAAAAATAGTATCTATATATTGGCTGAAAAGACTTTTAACAAAACTGAAAGGTCAGGGCACTCCCATTGAAATGTATGTGATATATCATGAAAATTTTCAATTATAATTGTGATTAAAGAATTAATTAGACAACTAATAACGTGTCTTAATTACTTTTTGCAGTCTAATGCAAGACGTAGACAACTAGTTACCATTGACTAAACTGAGGTGCCCAGATTATGCATGTCCAATATATAATATCTTATTAAAAGTTAAAAGAAAAATCAAACATATAGAAATTTAAAAGCTGCCCAGCCGTGTGACAATAAAATAAATAAAATTTTTGACTTTTAGACAAAAGTGTCACTTGTTTGTTTCAACATAATATATTCATACTTTACAAAGAAAAGTAGTGTAATTCCATTTCTCCATTTATGCGTGTCATTCTTGTACAGGGACTATGCTAATCTTCTCTATATCGTTCCAATTTTATCGGATGTCGACATAATGCATGCATGTCCATAGTTGAAAATCCTCCTAGAGTTTATCAATATTATTTGTCATAATAATAATTATATGTATTACTTTTTTTTATATGTAATAATTAATTGAGAGATTCTACGTCCCGTTATGGAACCGTTCCGTTGTGAATTTGTAACCGTTAGATCAACTCACTAGAAGAAAACACTTCAATTCCAACGGCAAAAATTTCTAATGGAAATTCCAATGAATATTCCAACAAACTTAATTTTATGTTGGATTAAGTGTTGGATGGTTGAGGAATTCCAACAGATTTTTTCCGTTGGAATAGTTGTAGAATTTATTTTCATACGATTTTCCGTTGGATTTTAGCTATTCCAACGGCCGTTTTTCCCACGAATTTTTATACGTAGGAATATCCGTTGGAATAGCTATTCCAACAGAAAATATAAAGAATCCATTGGAATGTAAGAGTTTT